ACATACTTAACTTTATAACTCATCAGTTTTCCAGAGAAATGTATCATTGCACAGTCCCACCAGCAAGATATGAAAGTTACAGATGCTCCACATTCTCTCCAAGGTTGATGTTGTCATTGTTTTTAGTTTTAGTCATTCTCTTGCATTCAAAATGATACAAGGGGTTTCATTTGCAGTCTCTTAATGATTAATGATTTTGAGCACCTTTTTATATATATATTTACAATTTGCATATCATCTTTTGTGATGTGTCAGTTCAGGCCTTTTGCCCATCTTTTATTGAGTTTTTATTATTAATAGGTAGGGGTTCTTGATATATTCTGGACTCAAGTCCTTTGTTTTATTTATTTTTATTTTTTTTTATATATATATATATGAAGTAAGTTTTTCCTCCTGGTCTGTGGCATGCCTTTTCAAAATTTTCTTAATTGTGTCTTTTGATAAACAAATGATTTCATATTAGTGAAGTCAAACTGATAATTTGTATACTTTATTTTTACTACCTTATGCCCTCTTTAAGAAACTGTCTACTCCAAGGAATTGAAGGGTCTTTTTTGTTTAATAGTTTTAGTTTTTACATTAGACTTATGATCCATGGCCAATTAATTTTTGTGGTTACTGTGAAGTAGGTGGTCAAAGGGTTTAACTTTTTTTTTTCATGTTAATATGGTTCTGCCACCATTTGTCGAAAATACTTTTATTTCTTCATAAACTAGCCTTGGTTCATTTGTCAATAAATTTGTTGTATATACATGGAAGTATTTCTGGATTCTTTTGTTCTCTTTTGTTACATTATTCTTTTTGCTTACCCGAATTATGCCAACACTACATTGTCTTGACTTCTGTGGCTTTGTAGTATGACTTGTAATCAGGTAGTTGCTGCATAGCATCTAAATTTGTTCTTCTGTTTTAGTGTTGTTTTGGCTATTCTGTGTCCTTTGTGCTTCCTTATACATTTTTTCACTTTTTTATTGCAACTTTATTTTGTAATAATATAATAATAATAGGAAACTGCAAAATCATGCGGTTTCCATGTATCTACCTTCTTCCCTTTCCCTAATGATGCTATCTTACATAATCATGGTATGTATATTCTCAGTGGGTGTGATACTGCCTTCAAAGGATAACAATTGACATTGGTGGAGACAAAAATACTCTCAACACTGTTACACCTGCAGTACGTAAACATATATGCTTTATCTGTGATATTAACATTTCATAGGGGTACATTAGGAAAAAAATGTCTTTTAGGGCAAAAATGAAAAAAGGTTGGGACAGGCTTCTGTAATGAAATATGAACAAGGAAACCGGGAATTGGCAATGGTATAATATCGTTGCTTCAGGTACTAATCTTAGTCGAATTTCACCAGTTTTTTACATGCACCTTTTTTGTTATTCTAGAGTTTTATGACATCTAGATCATGAGGATTTTCTCCTGTGATTGATTGTAGATGTTTTTTTCTTTAACTTTTTATTTTGAAATAATTATAGACTCACATAAAATTGTGAAAAATACTATATAGACTAAGTGTCCATCTCATAGCGTTCCCCAGTGGTGACACTTATATATCTGTAGTATAATATCAAAACCATGAAACTGAAGTTGATACAGTACTGTTAACTAGATTATAGACCTTTTCAGCTTTCATCAGTTTTTACATGTACTCATATGTGTGTGTATATAATTCTGTGTAATTTTATACCATGTTTCTTTTTTTATAGGGAAAGCGTTCAGAGTTTTACTATTAAGTATGATGTAAGCTAGAGGATCTTTTGTAGATGCCCTTCATTAAAGAAGTTCCCTTCTGTTCCAAGTATACTGATTTTGTTTTTTATGAATGCGTGTAGAATTTTGTCCAGTTTTTTGGCATCAATCGATATGATTATATGGTTTTCCTTTTTTAATCTGTTAATATATCTGATGGATTACATGGATTGAATTTCTAATGGTGAACCACCCTTACCTCCCTGGAATAAATCCAACTTTGTTGTTATGTATCTTTCTTTTTATGTATTGCTGGGTTTGATTTGTTAATATTTTGTTGAGGATTTTTGCATCTGTGTTCATGAGGCATAGTGGTCTGTGGATTTTGTGGGTATGTGTATGTGTTTTGTAAATGCCGTTCTTGCTTTTGGTATCAAGGTATCTGTGCCTTCTTGAGTGAGTTTTGGTTGTTTTGTGGTTTTTTTTAAAGGAATGTGTTCATTTCATTCTAGTTGTCAGGTTCATTGGCCTAAATTTGTTCATAATATTCCCTTATTATTTAAAAATATTTATCATTTCTGATGTTTGAAATTTGTAACCTTACTCTGGCTAGTGGTTTATAAATTTTGTTAATCTGATCCTCTCAAAGAACCAGCTTTAATTTCATTGTTTTCTTTTTCTTTTATTTGGGTGGTATTCTTTATTTCATTGATTTATATTTTGATATTTATCATTTTTTCCTCTTTTGCTTGCTTTGTGTTTATTTTACCCTTTTGCTGGTTTCTCAACATAGAAACTTAAGTTGATATAAGACCTTTTTTCATTTACTAGATAGGTTTTTAGTGCTACAAATTTCCTGCCAAGTACGGTTTTAGCTGGATCACATACAATTTGATATATTTTTATTTTATTCATACGAAAATACTATCTTACTTCCTTTTTGACATTTTCTGAGATCCATGGGTTATTTAAAAGTGTATTATTTAGCTTACAAATATTTGAAGATTATCCAGAGATCTGTTATTGGTTGCTAATTTAATTACATTGGTGTCAGGGAACATAGTTTGTAGTGCTTGAATTCTTTCAGATTTATTGAGGTTTGTTTTATAGCCACAATATGGTTTATTTTAGTAGATGTTCTGCTGTTATTAGGTATTCTATAAATGTTAGTTAGGTCAAGTTAGTCGATAATGTTGTTCAAGTACTTCACAGTTTTAACATTTAAATATATGTTTTTGTAATATGATTTATATATTTTACATTTGTATATCATGTGTTCAGTTTTTTTTCTGTCAGAGCATATTCTCTGTTACATCTTGTGAGACATTTTAGTTTACAAAGAATGTTACAAAATTATCTCCCATCGTTCATGCTTTTCTGTAACGTGGTTTTGTGACCAAGAATGGAATCTGATTTCCTTCCGCTTGAGTGTGGGCTATCCTTAATGACTTGGAATCAGTATAGTGCAGCAGGAACGAATGCTGTTGCATGGCTCCAGGTAGAGAGGCCATTGGTAGATGTTCTGGTTTACAGTCCTAACTGAGCACTTCTTTTGGCCATTCCAGGCCAGGTGTCAGATACATATATGAAAAAAGAAGTAATTTTGGAAGTAAATCCTCCAGCCCCAGCTTTTGTAGCTGTTGAAACCAACACCAGAACCACCAGAACTTTGAGTCTTCCCAGATCAGGCCCTCTGACCAATAGTTTATTGTTTATTGTCCCACATCACTAAATTTGATTAGTGGTTGTTGTTGCACATAGTAGTCATTCCCCAGTATACGTAGGGGATTGGTTTCGGGAGCCCCGTATTTACGAAAACCTGTGCATTCTCAAGTCCTACCATGGGCCCCTCAGAACCCATGTGTATGAAAAGTCGGCCTGAAAAGTTGGTATACCATATAGGTTTCCATCTCTAAAATATTGTATTTTCAGTCTGCATTTGATTGGACATTATCAGAGTGTTTAGTGGACCCCCACAGTTCAAACCCATGTTGTTCAAGGATCAACTGTAACAAAGAGATTACTTTTTCTCTAGGGTTTGAAGGTGGTAAGCATTTTAGTTCCTATATATCTGAATGTTCTTAACCTAACTCATAATTGGTAGTTTAAAGACTCTAGAATTCTTCATAATTCTCTCTCAGAACTTGGAATTTATTTCTCCATTGTCTTGTTGCATCATGTGTTGCTAGTGAGCCATGATGTAAATCTGATTCTCATTCTTTTATGTAGGCAGTGTTTATTCCCTTTTGAAGCTTTTAGGATTCTGGGGTTTCAGATATGGTCCATTGCTGTCTGAGGACTCAGGTCTTTGTATTTGCCTCAGTATATTTATTATACTTCACAATAATCTAAAATCTTCTTTCCTGTGTTCTTTTAATGGGAAACTGTCTGGTCTTTTGGGGATAAATAGCTATATATACCTTTTTCACCCATGACCTGAAGGCAGCAGAGGAGGTGACCATTTGGCTCCTGTTGAGTCACTTTAATTAATAACTGTTTAGTTTCCCCCAGGGAAGTTTTCTTGCTTTCCATATTTGCTGCTTCAGAGCATGGAGCAGTGCCCACTTTTGGCATGCATTTTTTTCCTGGACACTCTATAGCAATATGATTACCTCATTTAATCTGATCTAATCTGCCTTTTTATCTTTCAGAGATTCCTCATCGTTTTTGGTTCACTGAAGACACTTATCCCTTGTTTATTTTTCAGGACTCTCTTAGCATTTAAGGAGCAGGTGGGACTCTAGAGCAGGTGTTCAATTTGCCATTTTAGTTCAATTGTAGAAGCTGTGTTTAAAATGCACAGAAATCACATATGCTTTGTTTTCATATGGACTTGCAGTTCCACCTTTTCTTCTGCTAGTTCTTTTTTAGGCTACTCTTACTGCTAGGTAGAAAAACTACTTGTGTGTCTCTTAATCTTGTATCTCTTCATCTATTCTTAGATCTCAGTATCAGTGAAAATCCTCTTTTGTGGATTATATTAATAAGGGAGTGATGATTTAGATGCCAACTTTGACAAGACTGCATGGAATACGTTATAAAGTAAAAATGTCGTAGTATAGTTTCCAGAAATTTTAAGAAACATGTTGCTTGTATTCCTCACATTTTTGTTGTTGTATATAAAAAAATCATTGCAAATATGATGAATTTCAATGACTAAAATAATCACAATTTCATAAGGTTGTAAATTTTTAGTATATTTGCATAGGCTTTTAAGTAAACCAGAGTCTTATTTTTCCTTTAATCTGGTGATTTGCTTGAGACTTTATTAAAGAAAGATCTTTTTTTTTTTCAGACCAGCATCTCAGACATGTCGAAAAAGATGTTTTGATCCCTAAAATAATGAGAGAAAAGGCCAAAGAGAGGTGTTCTGAACAAGTTCAAGGTAAGATTCAAATATTCATATAAAGATCAAATTTATTTTTAATAATATCTGAATTTAATCCTTAGCCCCAGAATCAAGTAGTCAATGAATTAATATGTATGAATTGCTTCTCACCCTTTTGCTGAAATACCAGTATTTCAGCTTTCAGAACTTCCAGTGATGTTCAATTCATTTACAGTTTAAAAATATTTCCCTAAATTACTAGTAAAAAGCATCTTTTTTTTACCCTCAGAGGTACAGTTATATCCATAGAAAAACTTGGTATGAGTAATTTGGAGAAACAAGTTATTCTGATGATTTTATAGGGGAGGAAGAAACATCAGATCTAGCCTATACCTGTTTTCCATCTGTCACCATATTCACATGTATATACATAATATATATATATATATTCTAAGGTGATTTTCTTTGGTGTCATTGTCTATTACTGAATTGTTAATAGAATCCCGATAGGACTTACAGTGAGTCTGGGGTTTTTGTTTTGTTTTACGTTTCTAAGTGGAGGATATTTATGTAAATACATACACTAGACAGCTGCACATGTATGTTTTCTTTGGAAAATGTTTTAACATGAAATACTCCTGTAGATCTAGAGACATCAGTGATTGATGTGTAATATTCTAGTGAAACATGTAAACAAAGCAGTGAAAGGTGAAAAGTGAGGCCATAATACATTTGTAAATGATGAGTTATTAGAAAAGCACATGGCAATATTACTGTAGAAATAGCTTTAAAAAAATTCTACCTCTTGGAAGGGCCATCAAAAAGAAGTAACAAAATTTTATGGACATAGGCTATTTTCCTGGCTTTACTTCTTCAGTTTCTGTGTGGTCATCTTTGTTGAGGGAACACAATAATTTTTAGCGAGGATGATGGGCTGCACTTCCACTGCAAGCTTCTCTACAGGGGAGCAGGGCTGTGTCAGCTCTAATTTCAGGACTGGGTCAATAACATTTGGAGACTAGGAATGCTTTTGTTCCCTTCTCTGTCCTCTGCCCTTAGAGAGGACCTTTGCAATTGATGAATGGAGGTAATAAAATAAGAGTAGTTCTTTGGACTCAACAATGTGTGATGGTCATTTTTGTTTCTTCAGTAACTTATTATGACCTATCCATTTTAAAACTCATATAAATAACCATCCTGTGGTTTTACTCTTGCTTTCCTGTGAATTAGTTTAATAGTTTAATCAGAGTACCTTTCTTTAACACCTACACCCAGGTGTCTTGAGAAGTCAACCTATTGACACCTGCAAGTAGTGCATGTATGGCATTGGCAGGTGTCATGTTTATGGTCACAAGGGGTACAATGTGCACATTCCTCATAGAACTTAAAAAATGTATATCCTGATTCAGGTGAGGGGAGATAAAACTTAAAAACTCTATACTAAAGTTGTAGGGCTTTTTATTGCTAGGGAAATTTACTTATTACTGATACATCAGTCTGAAGTTATACATATAAGTTGTATTTATGCTGTCATGTAGCATATTATCTTTATACCTGGAATGAAAAAAAGCTAGCTAACTCAATTACAGATTTAAATTTTACTGACATAATTCCAAGGAAAATGCAGAATGATTGTATGACTTTGGGTTTCAGAACTGTCTTTCATTGTCTCTTAGACAATGAAACTTTGTTTTTGGTTTTTGAAATGAAAGAGTAGAGTATAACTTTAAAATATTTATTTGTGTTACAAAACTAGTGTTTTATAATGGTACAGAAAATAAGTGTTTAATTTTCACTTCATCAAAAGTTGTTTAGGATGTTGATGTAGTTAAGTTTTTGCTTTTTCAACATACTTGAGTTTTCTGAAGACTGAAAGCATCTTAAAATCTGTGATTCATTTGGATTATTTAAATGTATTCATCTATATTAGAATGTAATAACATAATTTGAATTTCTTATAGATAATTATATGTTGATTTTTTAGGCCATGTGATTCAGAACAATGTTTTAGAATCTAAAATTGATAAGAGAATAAGAAGTCTATTTTCTAACCATATAAATTAGGAAATGATGTATATTAGAATTATTCAAGCATCAAAAGAAAACTTCATTTAAACTGAACAGTAAGACATAATTTAGAATCGGGACATTTCCATTGTAGTTTATTTACTGTTTATAGCTTTTGCTTTATTAAGTAATTATAGGATTTTATATAAAAGCATTATGTATGCCAATTGTATGCTTCTTAGATAAAAGATACAGGAATTTTAATAAGTGGTCTGACTTTCTGCTAAATGCCTAAAACATGATTATGTAGGAAAGCTTTTCCCTTAGATTTTTTTTTAAAACGTCATTTCAACCCAGCTGATCATAAGAATTGGGTCAGACTGTCAGCAACTTAGGTTTGTGAAGGGAATGGAACAGCTTTTCCATGGACAAAGAGAAATGAAATCACTTTCAATGAAAGAAAGATGCCTCATTATAGTCACCAACAGCAGTTATTGACAGCTACACTTCCTATTAACAAGGAGCATTTAACTAAGAGTTTGGCTGTTGGATCTTTGGACTTGATCTAATTTGCTAGCATTAATTAGTTTCTTTTGAGCACAGACACTTGGTGCTCACAGCTATAGATCTGGAGGGCTAATTAGGATAGAAAATTGAACAGAATTGGGTAAGGCATTAACTTTCAACCATTACCAGCTGGGACACTGATAAAGACCACAGAGTCCAAATGTTACCTATTGATGTGGGGAGTACCCTAATGAATATCAATTTCAGCCAGGTTGCTATATTCTTACTAGTTGTCTCTTCATTATAATTTTTTAACCAGCTTACATTATACTCTCTTTATCTGTACACCATTGGTTTTTACTTACTGTACACTGAATTAGTCTGAGTTGCATATTTCACCTAATGTTTAAATACAGTTAAAATTTGTCAAGCAGTAGATAACATTTAGAATGTTTCATCATTATATACCCTTGTAATTCTAAAATTTAATTTTAATCTGGAATTACATGATTCTAATTCTACAATGAATTTGTATAAGTTCCAGTAATATGCCATTTCAATATAATGAAAACTGTAACGTAATACAAAAAAATTTTAGCTTTTGGGTGACAATTAGTTTTCATATTATTCAAATGGTGTCGACTCTTGAATCTTGGTCTTTATAAAATATATTTTTAATAATGTAAAGTAAGAAACACAAAAATATATGGTTTCTTTTTTTCCCCCTTTTTCTTTGAAATGGAGTCGCACTATGTTGTACAGGCTGGTCTCCAATCCTGGGCTCAAACAAGTCTCCTGCCTTGGCCTCCCAAAGTGCTGGGATTGCAGGCATGGACTACTGTGCCCAGCCTATGTTTCTTTTTGAAGGGAAGAATAGTGCTTAGCGCCTTTCCTTTTTGAACTTTGATTTGATTTGAAAAGGTGGCTTGACTTAGAGATTAGAAAGGAGAATCCTGATCTTGCTATTAGGGAAACTTTGACAAGATTATAAACTCTGTTGGTATCAAAAGAAAAGTTATTGATTTAAATATAAAATTTAATTTTATAGTATTCTTTCCTTGCTAGTGATATTATTGGCAGTGAATAAAGTCACTAAAATAAATGACTGAAGTATACTGGTAGACATTAACACAGTGAACACTGAGTACATTGGGAATGGAAGTGAAGGAAAACTCTAGAACGGCCAAATCGCTTTCTTACTTCCTCCCACTTTCCTCACCTTCCAAAAGCCAAAACAGTAATATCCCACCAACTGCAATGATGAAATCATTACTTTTTCTTGGATCTAGGAGTTAGCACCTTGTGTCTTAGGGAGATGGTTTGACCAACTCTGGATTTCAACTTTGTGTCTTTTTCTAGCTGTTTGACTTCACTAATTTAATGATTTATGTTTTCTATGTTAGTAATGTTTAAAAAATATTGTTTGCCGTATATAGGTAAAGTATGCATACTAGTATTATACATTTTTCTCTGTAAGAGGAAGAGTCACTGAATTATATAGTGTTTTATAAAAATTCCTCATTATATTTCTTTGCCTTTTTGAAGTGCATAATCCACATTTGCTATAAAGTCTCTATATTGGATAATGACGTTTGCTTTAGAAGTAATAAGAGCCTTTTCTCTTTTTTCCTTTTGCTGTCACAGGTAAAGACAAAAAAGTATTTCATCTTCAGGGATGGGTTGGAACTTTCTTTAACCTAGCTGTATTCTTTTACAGACTCCTTTCATCCCTTGGGCCTTCTTTTCCCTTATTTTAGTGTTCGTTTTGTACTTATGTTGCAGTCTTTATGATCTGTTGTCCAATAAGTGAGATATAGCTCTGAAAGAATTATATAAAGTACAAGGAAGCATGGGTTATTTGTTTGTTTGAAACATCACAGAGCTGTAGGTAAATAACAAAGAAGCTTGATAAAATACCCTGTTCTGTCAATCACACCGAACTGAAGTATGTTCTATTTTGTGAAATTCCAAAGATAAGTGAATAAACAAAAAAGAATCAAGTTAAGCATGCTTAGAATGTTCTTTAGGAAGTTTACAGGCAGATAGTGATCAAAACAGCATTGAAATAGGTTGCAGAGCTGGAGACTATATACATGGTCAAAGTAATCAATCTTCTGTCCAACTGTGTTGCTTGAAGCTGCCAAAAACCTGCCTTTTTATTTGTTGTTTGAGGTGTACCACTCTTATTACATGTATTTTTATTGTTAACCAGTTCACCGGTATTAACTAATGCTGAAGTGGATATGCAACACATCTTGAGACTAGTTTGGATATATTAAATGGAAAATAATCACTGCATATGATGAACTGCTGTTATATATGAGTATATTATACAGTCTAAGAAATACAAGTAGATATAAGGCACAGTTTCTGCACTTTGGACTTACACTGGACTATGTTATGGGTTCCCAAGACCACCATTGGATTGGTTGATTCACTGGGAAGACTGACAGGACTCAGCATATAATCCTATTCATAGCTAAAATTTATTACAGCAAAAAGATACAAAGCAAAATCAATAAAGGGAAAAGGCATATGGGAAA